TATTTTTATTTTGTAATTTTTGTAAAAAAAAAAAAAGTAGATTAACGTGTTTGATAAATTAAATAATATAAATAATAATAATAATAATAATAATAATAATAATAATAATAATAATAAACCCAACCATTTTCAGATTTTTCTTACTGACAAAACTACCTTAAAACCCGAATACCTTGCTTTCAAAATCTTAAAATGCGCTTTAAAAGTTTTAACATTCTCTCCTCTTCAACAAGTTTAATATGATAAGATTGTTAACTTGGAAATTTATATATATATATTATTTTAAATCATATAGTACATTCAAACTTATAAAAAACAATATTAACACTGTCATATAAGTCCAAATATCGTCGCTAGTAATTTTTTCATCATGATATCTCGCATATTTAGGATAATTGACTATTTGAAAATTGAATTATTTATTTTTGTTGTAATTTATTTAAAAATCCAAAAAACCTCGCCACTAATTTTTTCAACAAGAAAACTCGCATAATTAGGAAAAATGACCAATTGAAAAATGAAATAATTTTTTTTTTTAAAAATTATTTAAAAAAAAATTAATATATTTATAAGATTACATGGGTTCAGATAAATAACATTATATTTTAATCATGTCATGTAATAAATTTACATCTAAAAAAAGCATCGTTAAATAAAAAGGTCAATAACTAATGTGAGGTTGTGCCCAAATTAACTCTCGCCAGGGTTCTCTACAATCCGTATGGCCACTCCCTGATTAGTAATATCTCACTAAACAATACCTTGCTGAAAGAAAAGGAAATAAAAATAAAGAAAAAAATAATTATCCAGAATTAGTATCACTGTCGAAAGGATTTCTTTATTACTTCAAAAGATTGGTTTTATCGTTAGGATAGGTTATTATATATTATTAGATGATTACAATTATGAAGTTATGATGACAAAGATGAAGAAATGAGATAATTAGATAATTAAAAATGAAGTTAAGAAAATTAAGACGTTATTTATATGTTCTAAAGGTTAAATCATCTAGTTCCCTTATTCACAGTAGTCTCAAAAATAATTGAAATGTTCCATTGGAAAGAATATTTTAGGTTCTCTTTGAAATGAACGAATAGTTTTAAATTCTTTCTTTAAATAGTAGAACTTAGAATTAAATAAATCACATAAATCAAAATGTTGGTTAATTCATTCGTTCATTACAATTAATTCGCGAAGTGTCTAGTAGTATTTCCGTGTTAATTTCCGTCACGTGTAACTTGTTGTAAATTTTCAAGTTTCTCGTAATCTATAAATCATTCACTATATAATTGTCCTAACTCAAAGATTGATCTGTGATTGCCAACTCATAGTGTTATCATCTTTACGATTATTTATTATTTTTTTATTTTATTTCTAGAATTGAAATAATCAGTCTTAAAAATAATTTTGATTTGTTTTAATAAAGATTAATGAATACGTGAAGGGTAGTTCATTAAGTCGTAGAGTAACTGCATCGGGAAAACAAAGTATTAAGGTGTGACAACTTTAAAAAAAATCCAAGGACAGGTTGCACTTAAGTTTCTACAATTCATGAAACAATTTTAATTACCCGTTCTCCCGCCCTGGAAGAAGAGGATCGTTTAGCAATCCAGAAATTACAACTTCAGGCCTATTATAATTTGCCTTAGTGACTTGGCCAGCATGTGTGACTTGATTGACGTATCTAGTTTTATGACTAATGATTTCTCCCTATGGGACGGAATGGACTCAGTTGGGCTTAATGTATATTATATATTTGGTAAATTTGTATAATAAAAATTTTTATTTCATTCATCTAATTGGTCATCATAAATTGTTGTCGATCAGTTGATGAATGAAATCGGAATTCAATAAACAAATAAATTACATAATAATAATAATACCAAAACCATCCAAAAATGAAACTTTAACAAACATTTTAAAGTCTATTCGGTCAGGTCTCTGGGGATAGCATAAATGAAATTTCCCCAATTTTTATTTTCCCCCATTCCCGATTGCATTTTTAAATATTCGGTTTAAAATAATCCTTCTGCGCCCCAAAAAAAAGAAAAATTACTATTAATTATTCAACGGCAGCGTTAATGAAAATAAAATATTTAAAGCTAGGATAACTTGGGATAAATTAATTTCGCTTGTGATTTATATGCATAATTGAATAGTTTTTCACCTTTAGGGGAAAGCATCAACCGATTTTTTAACAATTCTACAATAACGCTCTGTCATTAAAACATATCATATCAATATACTTTTAAATGATTTAACAAAATTATTAAATGAATCAGATTATTATTATGTAGAAATTAAATTTGGAGCGGATAATGATGTTGAAACCTTTAAGGCTCATTCCAACATTTTGAAAGCAAGGTCTTTGTATTTTGATGCTGTTTTATCAAATAATAATAGGGTAAAACTGTTTGGAAATGGGAATGATTTCATTTAATACAAATTATTAATCAGTTTTTTCTTTTCTTTAAAAGATATATTTATAATGGCTTTTATATGTTCTATAATATTTATTAAATGATTTAAATATTGTAAATAAAGACAAAAATATTCATAAGAACAATTAAATATTAAAACAACGAATATACAAAAAAAAATCATGCCATTTTGTAGCATATGTCTGAGTATATGGATATCCAGTATGGATATAACTCCTGAATGACGTATGTTATTTATTGTATAGCCACAAATAATAATAAAGTCAGCAGTAAGTATTTTAATTCAATATAGAAATTGGCACCGCCTAAAAATTCTTTGGTCAGTTAATTAACTACGAAACCTTCGGTTAACCGTTAAGCCGTTTAAACCGTTAAATGACGATCCGTCTATTGATGCAGTTTACATACATTTTCCTATATTTTCTGCTTGAATTTCATAGGGTTACGCATAAGGTTTTAGCTACGTTATTTTACTGGCATTTATTTATTAATAAATATTTCTAACACATATGCTATTTACTTTCTTACTATTATTATACGCGCGGAAAAACCCGGGTTACTATGATTGGCACATCTCTAAGCTTACCTGTTTAGTCAGTAATTTCGAACATAATAGTTAGGACCATACGATACAATCGAACATTGAGTGAGAACTTTTTCATAAAGATATTTTTAATGGTATGAGACAAGGATTCTAGTTGGGTGAATTGTTTTACAAAGACTGATAATTCTACCACATTAACTTTTAGTTAAAGCTGAAATTCCAGTTTAAAAATTTTCGAAGGATTTTTCGAAAAATTATTAAAATTTTGTCAAAGGAATTCGGTCAAAGTTTTATTTTTTCAATAAAAATGTTAGAGAAACAAAATTTTCATACAGTCAGACTCCTATATAGTCACATCCTATATAGTCACATCCTATATAGTCACAACATAGTATAGTCGCATTTTTTTGTTAATTTGAAAAATTCCCTGCTAACTAATTAATCATAGTAGAAACATCTCCTGTATAGTCACAAACACTATAGTCACCAAAATTCTTGAAATTTCACTATGGTCCCGAGGTGCGTGACTATACAGGAGTCTGACTGTATATAATTTTAAGAATCTAAGCTACAAAATGATACTGTTTATTGATTTTTTTATAATGTGTGTTTTCGAATCACATGGTTGATTCAAATGTTGAAATGGTTCAAGGTTCATGCGTAAACCTATTATACATTTTTCATCCAAAAATTACAGAAATGTGATAATTAGATAAATCATGACTAATATGTATCTTCCATCCATCCTCCTAAAAAGTATATCTAACATTAAAGATGCATATCATCTTCATAAGTTTTGATTATAATTTTGAACCATATTGTTTGAATTCTCATTTCCAAGAATTCGTATAATATTACTTGTAGATGTTTCACAAACAATGTAAAAAAGCTTATTACCTTGAAGCATCTCCTGAGTTAGTTTTCTAATTAGGGTTTCATCTTATTTTAAACTATACTATTAAGTGTGTGACCAGTATGTTCATCAATTAATGATGAAACATCCATTTTTTAGGTGTCTTCCAAATATAACCTAATTTCTTTTTTTTTTTCCGAGAATTAATATCAGTGATTTTCCTGGGCATATATTCTCATACACGTGGACATCTAAAT